TCACATCGGCTAAATTAATAGCTGGAGTCGATGACTGCTCGTTTTTGGGAACAGGCATCGTTCCTGATGTTGTTGTTGGTCTCGTATTTGTTGTTGTTGATGTCATGCCTTGGACAACATCGGCATCTGCCTTGATTTCCATCGATTCCGCTGCCGTTCCTAAAATGGGCACTTCGTGCTCTTCATCCGATTCGGTGGACTCGCGTATGAGCTGGATGGACGGCGATGCCAGCTTCCCACTACTGACTTTGTATATATCACAGGTCTCGTTGACGTAGCGATTGAATACGTCCGGTTTGTCCGCGTACACATGATGTCCGGCGCCGGTTACAATCTTGATGTCCACCATTTTGACGCCGCGCTGCGATTTGATTTTCTCGCCCGACGACGAATCAATCCAGCTACGTGAGCCATAGATGAATGTGATTGGTATATCGCTGCGCACATCCTTGATGCGATGGATCATGGGATGCTTGGCCCAGCCAAACGATTGCATCATGCTGTGGAAAGCCGATTCCCCGCTCGGCCGCTGTGCATTGCACTGGTGTATATACTGGGGCAGCAGATTGATGTCCTCCTCAATCGTATGCTGGAATTTGCGCATGATATCCGGTCGCGTCTTCTGCACCACCCACTGGCCAAATGGACCAGCGGCACGCAACGCCCACAACGGATTTAGGGGCGTTAAGACACGCGCTATTGCCCGCACCCACAAAGGAATCTGTTTGGTGTTCGTCGAGTCGGCGGGCTTCTCGGGAAAGCCCCACGGATCGGCAAGTATTAAGTGCCTAACGCGCTCCGGATAGCTAAGCGCATAACTGGAGGCAATGAAACCGCCCATGGAGTGACCCAACAGTATCATATCATTGATGTTCATTTCGCGACGCCACTCCTCGACAGATTTGACGAACTGCTTCTCGCACACAAGCGCATCCTTGGCAAATTGTGGCCTGGAGCTGCGGCCAAAGCCGAGCACATCCATGGCATAGACCGGACGATCCTTTGCAAAGGCATCCAGATTCATCACCCACAGAGCCACGCCTGCCCCGAGGCCATGCAGCAGTACCAGCGGCACCTCCTTGGACTCCGTATTCATGCTGAGCGTCCAGATTTTGTCAGCCTCGCCCACAGCCGGACCAATGTCCACAAAGAAGCCCCGATACGGCAGCTTCAGATATGAAAGTATCTTCTTCTCAACGGCGCGCAGCATTGTTGGTGAAGTCGATGTCCAGTTATACAACCATTGCCATAGAAAGAAGCCGTTATTTTTCGAAACCTGAAATTCAAGTTTTTAAGTGTACACGTGAATTTAACTACATATAAAACATTATTATAAAATGAAAATCATATGAAATACTGCAAAAGCTATCAATTATTTATTATTATTATTGGACTGCTGTCAAATTGAGTAAACCAAAATCTAAAAGGCAATTTTGTTAAAAACAAATAAGAACGATTACAGTTGTAAGCCGCTGCAGAGAGATGTCTTAGTCTCAATGTTGATAAGATTTCGCTGATATGCTTGGAAAGCATTAAATTCCCGAGTTAAGATTAAAAAAAAAAGCCCAATTCTACACATGTAACAAAAGACAATAACAACTATGCAAACTATTTCAAAGCTGCGAGACTAATTTGCTTGGCAACATACCAATATATAAACATGCTGATAAGGATCAAAAATATATTGTATGTATATGTTACTTTATGAGTTCGAAGAGAAAATAAAACCCTTAACAAGTGAATTATTGTATATATTACTGTAAATCAGACCCCGTTCGTTTGTACTACTTTGTTGTGCATATGTACACGCATACATATGCACATATAAGCAAACGTCACACATACTCGAACCACTTAATTCCATGCCTTGGTCTCTCTCGCCTGCTCTGGCCCGGAAGTGCTGCCAAATGGGCGTGGATTACCTAACGGGCACCGCGATCGCGCCCACTCAAACTGCGCAATTAGCTAGGAACACACACACACACACACACATACATACATATGTATGTACGTTTGCATGTGTATCATATTTCAGCGTTGACAATTTAATGTTTGACCTTTTGTCTTAAAAATCAATGTTTCATGTTTAGCTGTTCGAAATCCTTTTGCCTCGCCGTTTCGCTTACCTCTACGTCCATGGTCTGAGCCTCTAGCACAACATCTGTAGCGCCTTCAGCGTGGTTTGGCAATGCCAGTGTACCGCTCATTTAGTTTTTTTTTTTCGTTCTTTTTGGTTCTTTTTTTCGTTGTTAATATTGACAAGTTGCCAGAAGACGGTCTATTTAGAATAATACTAGCATATAGCTGCGACGGTGCAGCATTTGCGAAAATTTAGTCTAGCATTGACAAAGTCAACCCTTTGATCAAAAACTGCTGCGGTTAGTGTCGAGTTGTGATGACTATGAATTTTTGTTCTAAGCTGGCCAGCTGATTGTATGTGCGGCCGCTGCTTATGTGTAATTTTTTCTAATGGTGAAATTGTATATTGTTGTCATTTATTTATATGTGCTCACCAAAAAGCAGACTTGTGCAACAGCTGTTCGCCATACCGCAGCCCTGGCATATGATTTCTAGTTGGTTTTAAATTTGCCAAGCAAAATACTGTCACACTGAAATAAATACCAGCACTGTCCACTAGCTGAGCTAGTGATGTGTAACTACTATTTAAAGAGTCACTCTCTTCATGGCGCTGCTGTTAATTCCCATTTCTAATTTACTTTGTGCCTATCGATTGTTTTAAATTGTTAACTATTCAAATTTTAGTCCTGATCTTTAGTATTTTGTTGGTAGCTAGTATATTTTTGTTGTACTTAAATGCGGCCATCCTAAATATACCGACCATGTGAACTAGCCGGGCGCTGCCAGCGCCTTTGGAACTTGCACACAGCATGGACGGAATTAACAAATACAATGAATTTGTGGCGCTGCATAAGCCGCAGCTGGAATCTTCGGCGGTGCCAGTGCATTTCTGGCCGGCGCTCTACCGCAAACTGACCACGGATAACTTTGATGCTGGTGAGGCTCTGCAATTATTGCTCATCGACTACGACGATGACGAGGATGAGAAGCAGGAGGAGGGCTCTGATGATGACAATGCCAAGCCAGCGTTTGCCCTAGAAGTAGCACGCGAACAGGGCATAAAAGCAAGTGATCCGCACGCCATTTATTTGATAGATCACGCCTGGACATTTCGGCTGAACAGCGCGCGTCAGCAGCTGGAGCAATATCCCCAGCTGGCGGATCGCTTGTCCGCCATCACCGGCGTCGATCTGGAGCATGAGCAGCGCATTGACAAAATATTGAGGCGCCTGTGGAGGTATTGTCATGCCTATTCCATTGCCACCGAAGGCTTGACCGATGAGGAGCGCATGCCCATATGGTATGTGATGGATGAAGTTGGTTCGGCAGTCAATCATTCGGATGAGCCCAATTTCCGTTTAGTGCCTTTGCTCTACCTGAACACGCAGACCACATACAGCTTGCTGTTTCCCATTCGGGATTGTGAACAGGGTGCACCGGTAACGCGCGACTTTGCCGAGTATGTGTCAAAGGATGCGCCGCAACGTTCGGCCCTGCTGCTGCCTTGGCAAGAGACTGATTTGAGTGAGGAGAGCTTTTTGCAGGTGGAACCGAGTGCGGATTACTTTTCCAGCGGACACATACCAGAAACATATCCGAAGGAGGAAAGCACTGCTGTCGAAGCGCCGCCTGCTCGCTGTGATCCCTTGAAGGTATACGCCCAGTATGATGTGCTGCGCGAGCATCTCACAGCCCCCGAATTTGTGCTGGTCGACAACGAACAGGATGCGGATGTGCTCTGGCTGACCTACCACTATAAGAATTTCGCAGAATTCGCACGCGATACGCCACACAAGTTCATCAATCAGTTTCCCTTCGAGTACGTCATCACCATCAAGGATTTGCTGGGTATTGTCGGTCGTCGTGCTGCAAAGGAGCATCACAATGCTGAGACGCTGGACACGTATCCCCCGTGGCTGCCCACCACCTACAATTTGTCCACGGAACTGCGCGAATTTGTCGCCTACTATCAGCAGCGTGCGGCCAAACGTTTGGATAACCATTGGATTATCAAACCCTGGAACCTGGCACGTGGTCTCGACACCCACATCACGGACAACATTAAGCAGATTGTACGTTTGCCCGCAACGGGACCGAAAATAGCCCAAAAATATATCGAACGCCCGGTGCTGTTTCATCGCGAGGAACTGAATGCTCAGGTCAAATTCGATGTGCGCTACGTGATACTGGTGAAGCGCGTGAAGCCGCTGGAGGCCTATGTGCATCGCAAGTTCTTTCTGCGCTTCGCCAATCGACCCTTCTCGCTGGACAGCTTTGATGACTATGAGAAGCATTATACGGTGATGAATTACCAGGAGCAGGCACAGCTGCATCACATACAATGCGATGATTTTTTGGACATGTGGCGTCAGCAGTATCCCAAACACGACTGGGCCGTTGTGGAGCAACAGATCTGCGGCATGCTGCACGAGGTGCTGCAGTGCGCCAGCCAAGCGCCGCCGCCTTGTGGCTTGGCGCCCTGCGCTCAGTCCCGCGCCCTCTACGCGGCGGATATTATGCTGGCCTGGACAGGCAGCGGTGTGGAGCAGCACGGAATGCAGCCAAAGCTGCTGGAGATTAACTGGACGCCCGACTGCAAACGCGCCTGTGATTACTATCCGGATTTCTTTAATGACATCTTCAAGCTGCTGTTTCTCGACGAGCAGAACAACGAGATGTTCAGGCTGCTGACAGCAAACGGACAATGAATAATGATCCATATCTTTTATATTAATTATACTTTTAACCTAATTACTAAAGTTCATAAATTTATGCTAGAAGCATATGAATGTTAAATACTTTGTTTGCAAATAAAGTTTCTGCTATGAATTCTAATATTCAGCATCTTCCAGTTTTCACTTGTTTTCTCAGCTGAATTCTCAACATTCAACGATCTTTGAAAATGATTCGATAACTTTGACTTACTTAACAATTAGAGTATATTTTATTTGTTGATAGTATCTTAAAGTCATTTGTAAACTACATATACAACTTATTTAGCGCGCATTTGTACAGTATACAAAGTATTGTTTGTATATATATATAATTATATATGTGTATATATCATCTATATGTAGTTGGGAACTTTTCATGTACATGCATATGCTCTTAACTAGGTGCGCAATATGTTTTGTGAGTGTGTGTGGCGCCAATTGTTTACATTCTCAATAACTCTATCATAGCTTGATAAGAAAAGAAACTATATAGCTGCTTGATAGCTGTTCATGTGTGTTCGTGAATAGGTGTAGGTGTAAAAAGTGAGCTTAAATTTAATATATAAAAATGTTTTTTTTGTTTACCAATTCTTAATTGTAATGGCACTTGAAATGAAAATGAGTAAAGATTATAAAAACGCTGTCTACTCTATGGAGGCAGCTTGATGTAGGCGATTCATAGAACTTAAATAGATGATGTCTCTAGTCAAGTTGAATTTTACATTTAAGGCAATTTGAAAGGCACAAAACTAAATCTCGATTAATGCAGCTACAGACTAATGAAAGGGAAAATAAAATAAAACTTCAATATATGTATGAAAACTTAGCTGCTAGCAAAATGAACTTAACTAATGTCGCTTACACAAATTAATAATTAACTTAACTTAGCGTCTACACTTAAAAACCTACTAAACGCAAACTTCATCGAAGTCTAAACGTATCTTCTCATCAACGGAAGCTAATTTATGTATAGTCTTTTTAATGCGCAACGCCGGCAGACGCACATTCGGATTCTGATGCCAGCACTCCTTCATTAGCTTGGACATGCCGGCCAGTAGCTGCAAACAGGCATATAATTAAAGATTATAGCTAATAGTATATTGGGTTTTATACTCACCGAATCTGAGCTCCAGCGATTGGGTATGGATGGTCGATAGTTGTCAATGCAGACAACTTTGCGCATATCCTCAAAGCTGGGATCCATGGGCACTACATCATAGAAGGGCACCTTGTATTCCTCAGCAATGCCGCACGAAATGGTGCGCCGGCAAACCTCCCACAGCACCAGTCCAAAAGCGTAGATATCAGTGCGTCGCAGTGCCTCAAAGCACTCCATGTCAATGCTGGGCGGGGATAAAAACAAAGAGTTACGCCAGCTGATAAAAAGTACAGTAGACAAGCTTACCTCTCGTCCAAGACCTCGGGTGCCATATAGCGCTTGGTGCCCACTTTGGGATTGTGGCCCAAATCCAGTTGTCCCGTCACATGCGAGTGTGTAACCGCCAAACCAAAATCAGCTATGACACAGGTACCGTTCGCGGTGACCAATATGTTCTTCGACTTCAAATCCCGATGCGCCATGGCGGGCTTGCCCTCAGTGCCAAAGATTTCAGTGTGTAAATGGACCAGTCCATTGGCAATCGACAAACAAATCCAAATCATATCATTATGGCTGAGTGCATTCCGATTCAGATGATCAAAGAGCGAGCCCTGTGGATAGTAGTGCGTCATTAGCCATAGCTGGGTGCACGAGTTGCGTGAGGTCATGTCGGAGCCAATAAAGCCAAGTATGTTCTCATGGCGCAGCAGCACGGTGCTGAAAGTGTGAAAGAGATTAGAATAGACAGATTTAGGAAATCCAAGTGAAGTCCAACCTGTAGATTTCAGTTTCACGTTTCCACGACTCCTCGTCGCGACTGAAGAATATTTTGACGGCAATGCTCTCGCCGTGCCAGTGACCACGCCACACCTCACCGTACTTGCCACGGCCGATGCATTCAATGAGCGTCACCTGTTTGGCCAGCGTCCGTTGCACCAGTAGCGGCAAACCGCTTCCCGAACCGGAAGTAACCGAATGCTGCAGGTATTCGCGCAGAGTACTATCCCCAGCGCTGGTGGCGCGCAGCAATTCATCGTTAACCAAATATGATTCGGGATCCTGTTTAACTCGCGTTGCAGCCAGACGCTTGCGATGGCTGCGCCGCATAAAGCACACGGCCACTGCGCCGATCAGCGTGATGACCAGAAATGGGCCCAAAATGGCGGCGGCCATTTTGCTGATGTTGCTGCTATCGGCTGTGATCACCGTTGCCACATCGCCGCTAACAAACGGTGGCAACTCGGGAAATTCGCCGTCATTGCAAAAATCGCTGGCACAGCAGACGACATTTATGAATTTTGCCGTGTTGCGTTTTGAGGGTCCGTTGAGCTTATTCAATCCAATCGGATTGCAAATCAGTGGCAATTGATCCTGCGACGTGGTGCAGCCGCGTGACACTTGCTCCTGGCCAACGGCATCGCGTGTGCGAGATTTCCAGCACTGCAGCAAGAATTGAATTATTGGATAATCAGATACCAAACTCTTATTAACTCACCTGTATAGCGTTCTGGCACGTATGTGCATGCTCATTGGGATCGAGACAGGGTGGTTCACACGCAAAACATTTTAATCTGTGCATGCGAAAATATCAGATTAGTGAATATGCAAGCATATAATAAGCACGGGAGTGTGTTTCTGTGTGTGTGTGGGGTTAATGAATTCAGGCGACCTAATGCACTCAGTTTTACCTTCTTTTCATGCGTCGCTTACTCTTAACATGTCTTCTATTAAGGAGTGCAGCGTGTTAAATGGGTGGGAAGTAGTAAAGAGTAGGTGTTAAAAGGAAGTTAGGCTATAGCAATAGTTGTTCCGATTAGAGAAATTTAATTTGACTGATTTGCGATTGATCGTAAACGGAAGTGCGTCCTATTCTACTAATTACCTGGGATGCGTAAGTAAGGAGTTTTGTGGTATTGCTGGAAACTCCTTTCCGTTAATGTGCGGCGGTAGTTCCATGTCCATATCCTGTTGCTCATCTAGCAAAAGTCCGCTGATTTCCGCTGTAAGAACAACACGGAAAATAACAGTCACACATACACGCAAATAGGCTAGAAATACTCAACACACATATAAGCATTTGTGTATACACAAATAATACGCATGTGTGTGTGGATTATAAATGCACTTTTATGCTACGGTCGCCCACATAAGCATTCTTTTTCATTTATATAACGCATATTTTTATGTATTTGCATTATTTTCATGCTGTTTTATGCACTCAACGGCAGTTTTGTCACACATTTGGCTTTATACGCGGCGCAATTGGTAAGAACAGTAGCATATGAAAACAAATTGTGACCCAAACACACACAAACAAATATGCAGCGCGTAGGCATCATTTTTTCAGGCCAATATGCCGCTATCTAAGTCACACACTTGTGTTTAAATGCAGCCGCTTTTGATGCAAACACACTGTATTGCATTTGGCAACATAATTTAACACACCTTTTGCATTTTTATATAAAAAAAATGACAACAGGAAAACCAAAAATAAATTTGACTCCATTGCCATTGTTTTTTATCCAACACTAACAGTGCTGTGTTAGCCAGCACTAACAGGTATACATTTACAGCTGTGGCCACCCCAAATATGTTAACCTTTGCTCAAAGTGATTTGGGTGCCCATACTTGCCGCTGTTATAATAATACCAAATGCTGTTAGAGCTAACTATTTAAAACACACGTCGTCACGTTGTTTAGGTCACACTGAGCCGGTCCTCAGCTTGCTTCGCCTGGAAAAAATTGATCAACTGAAAAGTTTCTAGAATTTCTGAAAAAAACTTCAAAGACAATTTCACAGTAATTTAACATAAAAAAAAAATATTAAAAAGAGTTCTGTGCGGTTAATAATTATTTACAGTGCATACACGTATGTATTTATACATATATATTTTTTAGGTAAGTTTGGCCTGTGTGTGTACCTCTGCATGTTTGTGTCTGTTAGAAGAAAATGCAGTCTCAAGTCTAGTTCTATTGTTTTTCTAATTGTGGCTGCTGTAGAAGCCGATTGGTGGTCATTGACTTTCCTCATCGTGCTCAAGTTCAAGCGGATTGTCAACATAATCTTGCAACGGGGCTCCTCTGCAATTCTCCGTAAATCCTGTTCAAGTGGGCGTGTGCTAAGAGTCTGCTTAGTTTGTTCGGACCGGTTTCATCTTGTGGCCATGCTTTATGCAGAAAATCAATCAATTTTCCTCCGTTTGTATCGATATTGATCAAACGCCGATTGTGTATGTACATACATATTTACATATGAACTAGCTCACGCACACACACATAGATGGATGTGCTCTCCTTGGTCACGTAACTAATAATTTTTCCACATTTTCTTTTGCGCGTGTACGCACAACACGCTGATCCAAGGGGCAGAACATGTGTTTGCTTGTCGTCCACTTTTCTATTATTCTATCGTCCTGTGTCCCTATGTGTATACAGTTTGTTTTGACATCCCATCTCATCTGGGCTGGGCACACATTACAAACATATATATGTTCATTTATATACAGAACCTCGCTAAACAACAACAACAACAGCAGCAGACACAAACAATTGAGGGCAAGTGGTTGGTTAGCTGCCTGTGCTTATCTAGCGTCGCCCTCTTCTCCGCCGTACTCTTCTTCGTCGCATTCAGCATGCGGCCTCCTCTGCGTGCAAAGCATTTGCCGGCGTTTAATGCTCATTCGTAAAAGTTCGCTCGCGCCGCAAACATCGACACACAAACACTGATACGAAACAACGGCCACAACAAAACGGCAAACTACGCAGTACGTTTGCTTTTCGTTTTTGCTCAATAATAAAACGCTTGATCTCACTACGCCTTCCATTCTGTCCGCCTTCGTTTCCCATGTCCGTTTTGCTACATTACATAACTATAACATACATAGAAATGTAATAATACATTTCGCTGTTGCCAAAAAAAAAGGCTGCACAATGCAGCCGGCAAATTGTGCTGAGAGAGCAAGATAATGGATGAGAGAGCAGTGTCATGTTGGCTAGCGTCATTTTGAATCCGATTTCAATTTACATCCATATGCATATAGATAACTATATTTTATTCTATATTATCTATATATTGCTGTGTGTGAGGGTAGATAATGGAGGGGGGTTGCCCACACATATGTTGCGAAACCTACGACAATCGAGCGATAAGCCGCTCATCGATTTTGCATGTGTGTGTGTGTGTGTGCATACGTCAGAATGCGGCTTCTAACGAAAATCAATTTTGAGTCTTATTGCATCAGCTGTCAAATGTTAAATTACCATCTCTCTCTTTCTGTCTTTTCTCTTTGCAGAAACAACTAGAACGCTATAATAACATTAAAAAGCAACGTTAACTAGCATTTCGTACGGCTTACGTGTTCCTTACTAACTGTAAAATTATTAAAAATAGTGCAACAAGTGTTTAAAGCTCTTTTTTTTTCGAATTGCGCGTGTCAGTGAGAGCAAGAGTGAGATAGTGATAGTGATAGTGAGTGCAAGTTACAGCATTCGAAGCTATGTCCGCTTCCACACGCAATAAACACTCAAAGATCCATGGCAATGAAAAGTTGGACATAACCACGGATGAATTCGATCGCATTCGCCAGGCTTTAAGCAACGAAGAGTTTCGCAAATTGTTCTTCGATTACGTTGACGAAATTCAAGATCCGGAGAATCGTAAGCTCTACGAGAAGGAGATAACGCAGCTAGAAAAGGAGCGCGGCGTCGATGTAACCTTTATCCATCCGCAGCCGGGTTTTGTTGTAAAAACGTCCATTGATGGCGAACTAAAGTGTTTTATTAATATTGCCAGCTCCACTGTCGTGGAGCGGCCCAATAATGAGGTTTCTGTCGATTCGCAAACTGGGCAGAAGGGTCTCAGCTGGTCCATACCGATGGCCCAGACGCCGCCCCGCGACGATCTCGATGCCAATAACAAGCAATGCAAGGTTTTTGATGTCGTCTTCCATCCGGATGCACTACATCTGGGTAAGCGTAATGCGCAGTTCCGTCAATGCCTTATAGATACCGCACTGGATGGTGTCGAGCGCGAGTATAAGGTGAATTTGGATCGGGCCAATCTCAAGTTTCCCAAGCTCGACTATAAGGGTCTTGCACGGCCCACTGTGCTGCGCAAATTATCCAAGGATGCCACGGCCGAGGAACTGGAACCGCATCCACTGGAGCACATGTACCCCAAGAAGCCGGAAGCAAACTCCGACCAGCCCAAGGTGCTCCCCATGAAGACAAAAGTGACGCCTACTCCAACGTTTGCCGTGCCCAAGTACAGCATCAAGCACAGCCACGATGTGGACTTGGCCGAGTACACAGATGAACTGGATGCCAAACTGCAGGCGACTGTGCCACGTGCTCTGGTCGTTGAAATCGAATTGCCGCTGCTCAGCTCTACGGCTGGCTGTCAGCTGGATGTCACGGAGAAGTCCATTTATCTGCTCAGCGAGCGTCAAGGAGCCAAGTACCGACTAAAGCTGGATCTGCCCTACACGGTGAACGATAAAGCCGGCAATGCACGCTTCGATACCGAGCACAGACGTCTGTGCATAACGCTGCCCGTGGTCCGTTCCACGGCACGTCAACAGCGCAATTTGCACGACACCGTGCGCACGCTCACCCGCGAGGACAGCGGCGTGGAGCTCAACTCCAACGGCGAGTCGCCCGTCGAAGATGAAGCTGAAGCTGAAGCTGAGGCTGAGGCGGAGGGCGATGCCATTGTTGAGCTGCATTCGCATGACCAAGCCGATGAGTCCGATGCATGTAAGTAGTTCACTTTATATATGTCCTATAAAGTGCTGCTTTAACATGTCTTATCCAACAGTCCCACCCACTGCCGTTGTTTCGCCCCGCTCGTTTCTGAAGGACAACCTGCACTATCAGCTGCCCGCCTCGTTTGACTGCAACATACTGGACAATGTGATTGCCTTTGTGTTGCATGTGTCCAATGTGCAACCGGATTCCATGCAGACACTGCAGCAGGCACGCGGCCTGCATTTGCAATTCGCCTCCATGGGCAGTGGCTATTATCCCACCCACTATGCGTTCCTAGTGCAGCTGCCCGATGGGCTTGAGCCGCAGCTGCAGATCGATCATATCGATGTTGATGCCGCCGATGAGAATGTGGTCTTGAGGCTGTATATGAATGAGCACTGCATGCTGCTGCCTAGCTATCTGGCTGGACCCGATAGCAATGATCTCAAGGAATATCCAGTTTTTGGCCAATACAACAATAATGAGAAAGAGTACGAGAGCTGCAGCTTGGCTTCAGAGAAGTCGCTGTATATTAACATGGATCACAATGATCTGGAACATGCATTGGAGGTGAGCATCATGCCACAGGAGAGCACTGATCCTGTAGATAGTATAGAGCTGCAGCAACAGCAGCAACAACAACAACTGCAACAGCTGCAGCAGCAGAAGAAGCTAAACAAGAAGCAGCGCAAGCGCAACAAGAAGCAACGCTCGCTCTCTGAATCTGCCTGTGAGGAGCTCAAGGCGGCACAAGAGGAGCTGCAGCGCGAGAAGCAACAGCAGCAGCTGCCGCCACCCAAAGATGCCTCGCCGGAGCGCTTGCTGCAGAACGTGTCTCAGCCGGTGGCCACGCTGAAGCTGCCGCAGCGCAAGCAGCGCAGCTACTCGGAATGCAATGAGAGCAGCAGCTGCGTGCAACGTGGCATATTGAAACGTTTCAGTCGCTATGGACCACGCCCCTCCATATCCGATAGCTGCTCCTCAATTGATGATTGCTCCTCAACATATTCATGCTCGGTGGATGCACCGGGAATCGGTTTCTCACAATCATTTGGTGGCATACCCGAGGAGCGTGGCGGAGAGGGAGATGCAGGTCTATCGGAGAGCTGCAAGAAGACTGTTAGATTTAATGATCACATTATGAAGCAAGTGTTCAGGTGCGTCTAAAAATATAACACGAATCCAATTGTATTCAATTCCATCTAATTGAATTTTGGCATCTCTATTTTTAGGCTCGACTCGAGCATACTGGGCCAGCGAAAGAAGAATCAAAAGCGTCGCGATTGCAAATTGCGCGCCCAACAGCGTCGCCTCAGCGAGGGCGACTCGGCGGACTACGAGGAGGTGGAGCATGGCAATGGCCAGCAGCCGCCCGCCCACAAGGTAAACTTGTGATTTGCGCCAGCTTGTTAATTTGCCGATTGGAGCTAATTGAATTAGTGCTAGACGCGAACATTGATTGTATTGGAATGCCTTATCCATGTCTAGTCCGAGTGTTAGTTTCTATTGTCTGACCCATTTGGCTATTGAGAGCTTTAGGTCTAGTCTTAAACGCGTCTGAGCTAGTTAAATATTTGTCTCAAATTGCAAATTAGTTCGCGAGTAAATACAATAATTGAAACTAAAGCATTCCAGTTCGCGGCAGTGCTATTGCGATTTAAGTTAAATCAGCCACTAACTAGTCATTAAACGAAGGTCAAACGCCGAGTGATAATGATAATGATATGATACAGTATTTGTATTTGCAATTTGTGTGTAATTTAAGTAAACATTTGATCGAATGATGAACTCTTGATATAACTTTGATAAGTGGCAGTTGCTAACAGCCGCTTAATATAACAGGGCGATGTTACATATGAACATGTTAGGTGAAAGCTGTTAGAATAAATGCCAGTATAAACGCATATGACAGGACGCCATGGGATCCTTTAGAATTAGGTTTACTATAATTGTTCAACTTAGAAAAGCTGCAGAATTCAAGAGCGATTATTTCTATTTAATTTTATTTATATTTTGACTCATTGCAATTACTAAATATCTTTGATTCTACTCTCGCCCTCAGACCGCTGCCAATGCACAGTATTTCAAGCAGCCTAACAATAACAATGGTCACAACCAGGACAAGAACAAGAAGCTTTCGATGCACGATAGCGGCCTGGACTTGACCAACAACAACAACAATCACAACAACGAAGAGGAAACTAAACGCAATGAGGCTGATGCCAAGAATGCCATGATGTTTGAAATGGATGACGATGACGAGGATGACGAAGATGATGAGGATATGTAAGAGCACCTCGAGCGCTCGGTACAGCAACTGTGCGTGTGTTATTTTTCGAGGCAAATTTTCAAAGGGAATTTTTGAAGCTACTTTTATTGTACTGATTTATTTTTTTTTTTTGTGAAACAAGAGTTCATAATCGTAAATGGTAAACGTTGTTTATCAGCAAAAACGCGCTCAATTTAATAACCATATACAATTACAAATTGTTTAGGTACACACCCATACATATATATATATATGTATATATATATAATGAAGGATAAATCAGGGCAAACAACAAAATCAAAATGAACACAAAAATTCACTTATGTACATGGTTATATACATACATACAAATAATTGTTATTTAATTCGGTTAAACATAAATTGGAAAAATTGTTAAATTGCAACGTTCTCATAATAATATTTTAGATTGTACAAAACGCATTACCATCTGATTATACACACACACACACACACACACACACACACACACACACACACACACACACACACACACACACACACACACACACACACACACACACACACACACACACACACACACACACACACACACACACACACACACACACACACACACACACACACACACACACACACACACACACACACACACACACACACACACACACACACACACACACACACACACACATACACATACACATACACATACACATACACATACACATACACTACACATACACATACACATACACATACACATACACATACACATACACATACACATACACATACACATACACATACACATACACATACACATACACATACACATACACATACACATACACATACACATACACATACACATACACATACACATACACATACACATACACACATACACACATACACACATACACACACACATACACACATGCATGCATACAAAACAAATATATAAATATTTAATTAAAACAAATGGAAAATCTCTCAAGAAATTAATTTGAACAAATTGCTAATGCAAATTACAAACGGCAACTAAACAATATCAATAGTTAACATTGCATATATGCTACACACCTAATACACACACACCCACACACACACACACACCTGCATTCATAGTGTTTAAGCTATTTACATATATATATACGGGGCTGCCGACACTGATCGAACGTGTAGTATTTTAACTTTTTTAAACAGTCGCAAGTTAAATATACAACAAAAACAATATATATATATACATATATGTCTATGCATACAGCTTTAACTGGAAGAGCTAGAAAACTGAATTGGGGGTCGCAAATCCGGGTGATAGCTGCTCGGACTCCGATCTTGGAAAGAGATGCCTTATTGCACTCATGGAACTGCCTAGAATAAATTGTCATCAGAAAGTCCTTATGAAATTTAATGGGATTTTGCCCCATAAATTGACTTGGACTATATCTACGGAATAGAATAACCAAGGATTTATATACGTCATTTAGGAGCCAACGCTTTTGGTTCCTTGTTAGTCCGGGAGCGTAGCAGAAATATCATCTTAGTATAGAATCCCTCGTCACTCGGCTATTAACTCATAATTTGTTTTAATGAACCAAATTATCTCGCTTAAATGCAGCTTGATCTTGGACATATTAGGGGCTTAACGAGTTCCAACTCCATACAACTAATTGGCATCAAAAATTGTGATCTTACTTACTCCTTGCCTAAACTTGGAATGCGGATTCTTGATTGCCCATCGATAGTCAGGATCTTCAAAGGAAAATACCTCTCTTAAATGAAGTCATATCTAGACTAGAATTGTTTTCTAGGTTTCCAATATATATTTACATATATACAAGCGATATTGAACTAGTTGAAGCGTTCCTCCAGCTGTTTGCGTATGTGCGGCGTCTGCTGCAGCTCCCGCCGCTTCACCTCCAGCACATACAGCACCGGGCAGTCCAGTGAGCCGCATTGCAGCTCACCCAACCGGCCGCAACAGGCCTGGCATATCTGCTGGGTTAGCCTGTAGCCGCGCTCCAGCTGCGCCAGCTTGGCCTGCAGCGTGACGACGCACTTGCTGGCATTGCGGGCACAATCCGTGCAGATGCCCGCCTTGGTCTGGCGGCCGCAGTCGATGATGCAGCTGGTCGTTGAGAAATATTGCGATATGGTGGACTTGGCGCTGCCGCGATTCATCAGCTCACCAGCTGTTGACAGAGCCGGTGTCATGAGCAGCCTGCGCGGCAAATTGCTGAACCTGTGGAGCAGAGGAAATCTTAGGTGGATTATCCTGACAATGCAGCTGATTCCCTGGCTTACCAATCCTTCACATCCGCTCCGATGAGCAGCAGGCAGCGATTCAGTGGCGGAATTATAGCCTTGGTTATATAGTAAATGGCATTGATTTTGTAGCCCTCGTTGGCGAGCACCTCGTGCGGACTGCGCACCAGACGTATCAGCGGCACGCCGGGCGGACCATTGATTATGCAAAAGGGGACACGTTCACCGCGACGCGGCACGCGTCTGGGATCCTTTTGCATCCATTTGCTGGGTGGGGTGAAAATAATGAAATCTTTATATGATGAAATCTTTATATCCCTTACTAACCGCGTCATCTCCAGCGCAGGCACACAGGCTGTGGGCTTATAGCCGTTTAGGCCGCGAAACTCCTTGGCAAAGATGAGATCCTGCAGATTGGCGCGTCCGGAGAGCAGCTTGGTGAACTGCCGGCACACGTACTGCTTGATCCGACTGACGTCCGCCGTTTCGAAGAGCAGCCGCAGCACCTTCTCCAGCATTTTGGCCACCGCTGGACAGCCATCACGTCGCACCGTCTCGATGCCCTTGGCCTCGTAGACCGGCTGCTGCTGGTCGGGCGTCTCGTACATGTAGCCGACGTAGCGTTTTTTGGTCTGCAGCACGCACGGCTGATAGACCTTCTCCAGCTTCAGTTTGACCGGATGCGGATTCATTTCAGTGACCGCCTGTGCAATTTCCTCGCCAATGCGAAAGGCCTCCGCACGATTGCGTCCGGGCACCAGGACAAACATTGAGTCCGTGTCGCCGTAGACGACGCGCACATTCCACTTCTCGTGCGTCTCGACCAGTTTGATGGCACGCTCCAGCGTCTCACGGCCCTTGGATACCACCGTATCGCCCACCTCGACGGCGGGCATGCGACCACTGAAATTGGCCGCCGTATAGCCATAGGTGACATTTGCCATCAGCTTCAAGCCCAGCTGCCGTGAATGGAGCACACGCTGCAGCGCGGTGCTGTCGCGATGCAGCTTCATCGATTGCTTCACCATCAGCCGAGTGTCCAGTATTTCGCTGAGCATGCGCGGCAAGATGCCCTCGCGCACCTGCCGCTTCACAAAGACGACGCCGCAGGGTGAGATTGTGACCAGATCGCGTTCCAGCAGCTGCTGCAGCAACGGACGCGAGACACGCAACTGCGAGGCGCCAAACTCGAAAGGGGTGCTGCTGCCCAGATGCTCGACCCGGCCCAAACAAGTGGAGAAACAATAGTTGTAGGCTATGATCATGCTCGGATAGAGGCTCTGAAAGTCCAGCACGATGAGGGGATCAGCATAGAAACGTGACTCGGGCTCCATGATGAGCGCCAGATACTCCGGTGCACGCATGTGCGCGCGCTGCTGCACGCTCGGCGAGAGCGGCACCAGATTCTTGGGCTTCGCTATGCTGTGGTTGCGACAGAGAATAAATATTTAATATTGCAACTATATATAGAGCATCTATATGTACCCACCGCAGCATCATGCTCTCCACGCGAAACTGTGAGCCGCGCGAGAGCACCTCGTAAAACTGTATGCCAATCAATTTGGCCATCTCGCTGGTGCGTCCCAGCAGATCCAGCTGGTCGAGCAGCGCCAAGGTGCCGCGCACACGTTCCAAATAATACTCCAGCACAATCCAGCGCGTGCAGGGCGAGGCAAACCAATCTGTCAGGGAGCGCGGACTGTGCCAGGGACAACGCTTGTGCAGAATGTGATACATGACATTCTCGAAGGTGTACGAGGTGAGCGCGATCTCGGAGCGCATCAGACGCCAGACGTCCAGCAAGATGCGACCGCAGAGCTTCATCTCCACATCGAGATCCGTAAACGATTCGCGGTCCTCGTCCACAAAGTCGCGCACCTTTTGCGTGGGCACACGCGACAGCAGGGGCGCAATATTGAAGCACAAGTGCTTGGCTCGCTCAATGATGTAGCCCCAGGAGCTCATTTCAATCTCGTAGCCGGCATAGATGTCCGCATCCCAGCGCGTGCAGAGCGCCAGCAGCGCCTCAAAAGCCTGCGCCTCGCTCTGCACCACCTGCAGCTCAATGTCGGCGTCCAGGCCATGATGTCGTCCCTCGCTGACCAAATCCTGGGCATCGCTGACTATAATATAGCCGCAGGCCTTGCTGGGCAGCGACTGCTGCTCCGCTCCAGCTGCGGCCGGCAGGCTGTGCTCTATGGCATAGAATATGCAGCGTATCTCGTCGTACAGCGGATCCGGCTGCAGGTCGTCACGGCTGGGCACAAACAGCTCCAGCGTCATGGTGGTCAAATAGTTGCACTGTGGAAATTAAAATTTGAGACATGAAATACATCTTGATCTGAACTGTTTGCCCACCTCAATGTCCGCCTTGGCCTGCTGCAGATTCTCCAGATTAACCTTAAAGCCAAAGGTATTGTCCAGCGTCGCATTGGTCAGCCCAAAGCTGAGCTCATGACTGTTCCTTCCGCTGCTCAGGCTGTCCAGCTGCCGCACAAACGAGCTGCGCTCCAGTGCATCCAAGGCGTCGTTGCTGGCGACGCTCTGCTCACTCGACTGACTGTTGCCTGGCGGCTCATCCTGTTCTGCCGGAAATTGAAGTTTCGTGCCGCGTCTGGCGCGCATCTTGCCGCTAAGCGGCGTTTCCTTCGCCTGCTGCTTACCTCTGACAGCGGGCTGAGGCGTTGCTGGCGTCTGCGACATGGGCGTCAGGGTTAGGCGACTGCAATTTGGCTCTCCGTCCTCATCGCCGCTTGCCGCGCTCTCGCCATCGCCTTCGTTGAGCATCATGGTTATTTTCTGGCGCTTGATTTTAATGGGGCTATCCACATCGTTGCCCAGCGGGCGCAGCTCCTCCTCCTCCACCTGCTCGCCTTGGCGCTGCTTGTGCAGCTCCCGCGCTTTTAGCCACAACTTGGCGTCCTGCCGGCTAGGCGGACTCATTGCCGGCTCCATGACCAGCCGCTGCTCGCTGCTGAAGTACTCCCGCACCTGCTGCTCGTTGCGATAGCGCTGCAATATGACTGGTCCGGCAATGCCCACCAATTGCCTGCGTCGCCAGGCCGCCAGACCCTGATGGCTGGCCAGGACGCAGCTTTGAAAGGGCTCCAAATCGTTGAGCTTGTTGCCCGGTATGCGCAGCACCAGAAATCCCACCTCGGTCATTTTGCTAACATCGGCGGGATTGCTATAGAAGGGCTGCTGGAACACGTACTCGGGTATGTCCAGTTTGCGGCAGCTCTGCAGCACTTCCTCATAGCTGGGCGGCAGCTCTAGTGGCGCAATTACAAACGTGTTGCGATCTGCGGAGTTGCTTGAACTGCCGCTGGGCCTGGCCAGAAATTTACATGGCACGGGCAGCTGCGGACTGCCCAAATCGTCGCTGAATACGGACGGACTGTTCACAATCAACGAGTGCTCATAGAAACTTTTCATTAGCTCCGGAGTATTACTGGCCATGCTCTGTGGACTACATTGTGGTGTCACAATTGCTTCACTCATATCTTCTTCGGGTGCATTGTTGAGTGGAGGAGTTGGATTCGCTGGTGTCTTACTCGCTGGTGCCTTACTCGCTGGAGTGCGAATTGTTCTCGCTGAAAATTTATTCGTTGGAGTGCACTTCATTGCTGGCATTGGACTCGCTAGGACTTGACTTTTTGTACTCGTTGGCGTTTCACTCGCTAAAATTTTACTTATATTAGTTGTTGTACTCGCTGTCGTATTACTCGTTGATATTTTACTCGATGATTTACTCGCAGGAGTGCAATTAATTGATCTCGTTGAAGCTTGACTTTTTGTACTCGTTGGCGTTTCACTCGCTGGAATTAGACTTATGTCAGTTTTTGTACTCATTGTCGTTTCTCTCGCTGAAATTTGACTTTTAGCACTTGCTGCCATTTCACCCTCTGGCATTGGACTTGCTACTGCACTCGCTGGAATTTGACTTATAACACTCGCTCTTGTTTTAGTAACTGACATTGTTCTCGCTTTAGCTGCACTTATTGCACTCGCTGACGTTATACTTTCATTACTCGCTGGCGTCGTTCTCTTTGCCAGCAATGATTCGCGAAAGCTGCGTCGCAATCGTCGCAAATTTGGCGTCTTGCGTAGCTGAGCCACAGATCTATCGCTCTCTGTGTCAGATACAATTGCCTCATCGTCGCTAGTTACAGCGGGCGAGTCCGTTGCCTTATTAATTATTTCCAAACTAGGCGCTGCCTTAGCGATAGGTCGCTCCTCTGCATCCTGCTTGGCGCTGTGGCGTGCACTGCGACGTGGTTTCTTCTGCTCCACTGAAGTCTCAGCTGTGCTTGTTGAATTGTTCGCTGACTCAAAGACTTCCGAAATGCGAGAATTTCTGCGACGTGGTGTCAGGGAGCATATGATGTGCGTTTTGTCCAAATCACGCGTGCGACTGCGCGTGCTACGGCGTAGGGGTGAACTAAATGGAAGCAAACTATTTAAAAGGCTGCAAGTTGAATATATAAATCAACCTACGGCTCATCCGGTTGCGCTGCTTTGTTGCACATCTCAGTAAAAGACTCTGCAGAGATTGTCTTGCGGCGCAACTCAGTCATGGCCAGTTTCTTGCGCAGCGTTACAGCGGGGCTGCAAAAGGTGAATGGACAAGGAAAGGATTATAGATATTTAGACACAAAATCGATGTGCACACCTTCTGCCGCCCGCCTCTAGCTGTTGGCTAAGGCGCGTCTTGACGGCGCTGCTCGCTGGGGGCGTTGCAGCTGCTGCCTCCGCCTGCTCTACAATGGAATAGAAGCTTTAGCATTAGGAGATTTAATAGTTAAGGGTCCACGCTTACTCTGTGCGGATCGGCTGGTTATGGTCAGTGGCAGCGGCGCATATTTTTTGGCCGCACTGGACTTGGGCGTACGCGGCTGCTGCATGCTGATGCGACTTTTCGGTGTCGTGGGCGTGCGCGGCGGAGTCCGTTGTTGCGTCTTGGACTTGGCTTTGGTGGGCGTGCGGGGCAGCTGATCATCGGCGCCATCGATTTGCGGCATTTGCGGGGACTGACTAGACTTCGTCTGAGGCTTGGGCTGACTCTGAGTTAGCTTAAGTAACAGCTCGTCAATGTCATCCAGAGCAACGGAAAAGTCGTGCATGTTGCCCGCGGTGTTGTCCTCGTCCGAATTGTCGCTTTCGTCTTCGGACAGCGGCTGCTGCGCGGCTGCAGCTGCCGTCTGCTTGTCCAGCAGCTCAGGCGTAAGCTCAACTAAAAGCGTAGTCAGAAATTAATTTAAATAGTAATTAAGCTTATATTTAAATGGGGTTTACATTGTTTGTGCTGCTGCGAGAGCGGCGCCAGCGAGCTGTCCAAATCGATGTGCGATTCATTTGCGTTCTGCTCCTCCTCCAGCTGCTGCAACACCTCAAGCAGCTCCAAATCCTCCTCGCGCACTTAATATATTAGGTTTAAATAATGTATCAAAGGCTATCAAAACAATTAGCTCACAGGTAGCGTCATGTGGCACTGGACCCTCTGTCTCCATGAGCTGCTCGTCCACGAGCGTGTCGTCCAGAAAGGCAGCCTCGCTGTTGGCCACATCCGGCACCAGGCTCTGCAGACTGCCGCTGCCCGATAAATGATTTTGTATGACAGATGCATTCATCAGCAGCTGCTGTGCATCCTGGGTGCATTCATCGGGATAAACTGCATTGACCAGCAGCTTTTGCAGATTGAATTGACGTCGCTGCTCCTTGGCGCTGGTCTGGAGCGTAACATTCGCATGGCTGATCTGCGTCTGATCGGACAGAGTTTGATCTGAGCTCAGTGTCTGCTCCAAGGACAACAGCTTGCTCTCCAGCGCAGCGCGATAGAAGCTATCGCTTTCGGCTACCTCCACATTGGGACGCTCCTGTGTGGGCGGCACTTGCAGCACGGGCAGCTGTAATTGCAGCAAATTTATTAGCTGGGTGATTGGATTTGCGTGTAAGGCCTTACCGCATTTAGTTTCTGGCTATCGGCGCCATAGCTTTGGGCCAGCTTCTGGCGGCGCACGTGCTCATCATGCCAAATGGCCTCGATGCCGGGATTTGTGTGCGTCGTGTTGCTTTTTGTGACCAGTTGAAAGCGATTCAGTATGAAATTGGAATTGATATCCACCTCCAAGGCGCTGCAGGCGATCTTCTTAACGCAACTGGTGTCCAGCAGCTGCTCCGGCTTCACATTCGCATAGGGCACAACTGGAAAAAGAACAGGATGCAGTGTAAATCCCAGTCCAGCGAGAGTATTTGTGTCCACGTTTACCGTCTTCATCCGTATGCCTGCGAAACTTGACCACCTCGAGCGGCACATGCAGATAGCTCATGCCGTACAAATTGTAGTCAATCATAAATTGCAGAATGTAGGGTACATGCGATTCGTGGGGATTGAAGTTTCTGCTCAATATGGCGCCGCTTTGCAGTAAATTGGCGGCGCGTCGCACGAAGCGCGGATTGAACATGAAAATCTTAAAAAACTGATGCTCGGTGCGATGATAGCCATAGAAAGGACTTGAGAAGGAGTTGACACTAAGACATTAATTTAAATTTTATATAAAGATATTTACTCACATGCCCTTTACCAATTGGATTTTAAAGACATGCTGCGCATTGGAGCTGCCTTGGCCCAAGGATATATTGATGGCCTTATCCAAGTGCATGGCTATTTGCAGTATGCCGCGTTCGACAGATTCAAAGTCCCGCTTATCGTAGGGTATATAAAAGTAGGGGAAGACGCCATGCACATGCATGCAGCACTTTTGGCCATTGGCATTGGCGCCAAATATACGCACTATGGGCACCTATTCAACAAATATAAGCATTAGTAGTATTAACAATTTCAAATTAGTTATTATATATTTACGCGCTTAATTTCCTTGCCGCGCAACTCGGAGTAGCAGGGATCCAGGCCAAATACGGGTTTTTCCAGGTAAAAATCGGCAATTACAAGCCGCAAGGAGTAAATGCCGTCTATAGCGGACATTTTCTTTCGTTTTGCTTGCAAAGTTATATGCAGAATTCATTAAAAACCAGCGGCAACTTTATTTAGTGCAACTTGTTTACTTTTGTGCGGATAACTGCCAGGGCTGGCGAAATTCGGTTGTGAAATTCAACTTGCGACTCGTTACGAGTACTTGGTACTTGCAGATTTCAATTCAAATAATTGCCGCCATGCATGACTACAAGGGCTGGCAACGCTGTAAAAATACAACGCTGATTCGTGACAGGTACGACTACTCGTTAAAATTCAAACATGTGGCGCCAATTACACTTTTCATTCGAAAATCGTTTAAATTATATAATTAAGCTACGGTATAAGAGGCTCAGTACATTATATTTAGTTATATTATATTATAAAGCAGTTCATTGTAATTGAATCTTGGCTGTATTTGATGATATCCAATATTGACGGGTTAAACTTGGGACAAAGTTGGCGAAGCCTTACACAATGCCCTAGACTGAGACTATTGACTTTTCATTTTTATCTTTTTTTGAACAACTGCTCATCAACGAGGCAGGTTAAAAGTCCCCTGTGCCCACCGGGAATCCCTTAGCTTGAGCGTAGCGCAGACAAAAGCGACACTTTGGGTGTATAAATACGGGGCGCAAATTGAATGACATTATCAGTTCCGATAGTAACAGAAACAAGCTCAATTACAATGAAGTTTATCGTGTGCCTGGGCCTGCTACTTGTCCTGGCTGTGACATAGGCGCAGCCTGTGAAGGAGTTGGTATCCCCGGAGGAGGCAACAGCTCCAGTGGGGATAGTAGATCTAATTAAATAAAATATGTCAACATATGTTAGTATATATTTATATAATTATTTATTGCTTCATCGAGCCACCTAACTGAGTTTTGTTGTTGCTGCGCAGCTGTGAAAAAGAGCATTTGTTTTTATCTTTGGCTGATTTTGATATAAATTGCATTCGATATACTTATAAACATTGTTGTGAAAAAAAATTTGATTAGGATTAGGCTAACAAATTGAATGTGGCGATTGTGCAAAAAATTTGCTAATTGTACAAATTTGTAACATGCATTTCGTTAATTCGTTTAACTAGACTTTGCTTTACGCATATATATATATATATATATATATATATATAATATAAGTTAAGTATCAAATTTGTTAATCAACCGTCATATGTATAATTATTCGATTTGCCTCACATATATATATAATTGTATATGATTTAATTAATTACTAAGTTAACTTTGATTTGAATTAGTTGTAAGTATGTATGCAATAACCATATACATATATATTAAATATATATATATATATTATAATTGAGAAAAATGTGTGTTAAAAACAATTCGCATTTTCTTTTTAATATATATATAGAGTATATATAGTATAATTAAATATTATATAGAGGCTAGCGAAGTTCTGATTATTTTATTCATGCACACTTTTGTAAAGATTTTAAGTTTTTTTTGTTTTTTGGCCAAATCACAGGAGAATTAGAAGTTATTAACAAAATCTAAGATTAGGACAAGTTTTAAGAGTGTAAACAGACACACACACACACACACACACACACACGCACACAAAGTTCCAATCAGAAATTAGTTTAAAGCTTATGAACACACGTTAATTTGTGCCTGAACTTTATCAAAATTTATGTATTCGATTAATGTTCTTCTCTCTTTTATCTATATGTTAATTTGTTGTATATAAGATTGGTTTTTTTTTTTGATTTGGAGCATTATAATAATTTAATAATAATAAAAAATAAACGCACAACTTGTTTGCTTTATTTTTGCATTTTCGCTTTTGAATTTGTTTTTGCTTTGTTTCAATTCTTGTATAATAAATTATGGCTATATATATATTTAAGAAGTATGTAAGTAGGAGGCGCACAATTCTCTCTCTCTCGCTCTCTCTCTCGCTCTCTCTCTCTCGCTCTCTCTCGCTCTAACTGCCTATGCATATATATATATATAGTATATGAATACATTTGTTTATATTATTCATTTCTTGTTTGATTTTTACTTTACGACTTAGAAATACAACTTTCAAAAAATTGTTTTTGTATTTGTTGTTTTGTGTGTTTTCTTTTTTGTGATATTCAAAAATTCTGAACGCCCAGCTTAATAACAATACACAAATATGAACAATTAAGTTGGGGAGAGAAAAATTCCAAAAACAAACAATAATCATTTTTAAAAAATAATAATAAATAGTAACTAGTGAAAAAGATTTGCATTATGCATATAAAAAGGTAAACCTATGCCGTGGCAACTTCAGCTAAACTTTCATTTCAATTTGTTGTTGTTGTTGTTGTTGTTTTGCCCGTTTTAGACATCGACAACCATCTTCTTGTGTATGTCCGTGTTGCCAACAACCGAGCAGAACTCGTCGAAGGAGATTTTGCCATCCTCGTCCTTGTCCGCGAAACCGATTGTCTTGTCCACAATTTGCTGCAGCTGCGTGTCTTTCAGATTGTTGCCCACCATCATTTTCAAGACCTGCGCCCAAATAGAATAGATCAATAATTAATTTTGATTGTATCTATAGGATATTCGCAATCTCAGTACGCACCTGGAAGAGTTCGCCGTTTGAAATGTAGCCGTCGTTGTCCATGTCGTAGATGCGAAATGCGAACCGCAGCTTGGACAGCTTGTCGCCCTTGACGCTGAACTGGGAGACGCCCTGGATGAACTCCTTGAAGTCCACCTCGCCGTTGCCGTCCGCATCGAAAATATCGATGACACGCTGCACGAGCGGATTCTGTTGCAGTTCCGGCAGCGACATAAACTCATCCACGCTCAACGCACCCGAATTGTCCAGATCCAGTTTGCGGAAACGTTTGCCCAGTCGACGTATCTCATCCGCGTCGACTGTTCCCAGTTAATAGACAGATAGATAGATAGATAGATGTTAATGGAAAATTGTTTAGATTTTAGGCGCCACAGGGTGATTGTGGCTCGAGCAGCACGTGTGGGCGTGCGCCCTGTGCGCCCTGTGTTCTGCTGCTGTTGCTTATGTTGTACAAAAATGTGACCGTTTTTATTTATAGACCTCCCCCTCGAAGAAGCTGATGACAATGAAAATGATATTGATCACAGCGAGAGGTTGTCAGCCAAATGAATGCAAGCTAAGCGCGAATGACACCTGCTTGTTTGTGGCATTAAGATTAAATGGCAAACATATCGAACAACAATAATTAATTACACTGTGTTCAATTTTAGATATCAACAATTAAAAAACATTAAGTGTTTTCCAATTTTACATTTATCTTGAGAAGTTCAAAATATAACTAGTTTATTGAACTGCAAATAAACCGACTAGCTATTGCTTTGTTGTGCGTATTTTCATTATTAACAAGTGTCATTCCCGCATTACTCATATTCCCATTGAAACACAGACATATTACAACTAACTAGTGTCATTCTAGCACACACTATATATTCTAATTAGAGCACACAGCGCTCACTAGCAAGTGTCACTACAGCACAATTCATATTCCAATTTGAACACACAGCACTTAACTAATAATATACTCCAATACTCCAATTAGAACACGCAACCGAAATATTAACAAGTGTCATACCCGCAGAAGAAACAAGAAACAAGTCCAATTGAAATCATATTCAAATTTAAACACTCAACACCTAACTAACAAATGTGACTCCAGTAGAATTCATATTCCAATTAGAACGAGCAACACTAACCAACAAGTGTCATTCCATTCTACTAACGAGTCTCATTCTATCACTATTCATATTCCAATTCGAACACGCAACACTTAACTAACAAGTGTCACTCTCTCACAATACACATGCCAATTTGAACACGCAACTCATGCGCACAGAAATAGTGCTCCAATTAGAACACGCACCACTTAACTAACAAGTGTCACTCCAGCACAATTCACTTTCCAACTAGAACACGCAACACAACAATTGTCACTTTAGCACAATTCATATTCCAATTTGAGCACGCAACGCAAACACTGGCCAGTGTCACTCTAGCACAATTCATATTCCAATTAGCAAATACATGGCACATAAAACTGCTGCTCCCGCTTTCCGCTTTCCGCTTTCCGCTTCCCGCTCCCGCTGCTGCTGGACAAACAAGCGCAAAGATAGGCAAATAACGGTATGCACAAATGCAAATGCAATTATGGTTTAAAAAACGTGTCTGCACACATTTAAAAAAGGTGAAAATGCAAATATGCACAGGCAACTGGCCAAATTCCATTCAAATGACATTGACTAGGCGAATTTTACTTACAATTCGAGCACATTTCCATCGGCAGCGACGTTTCATTTCCCTGCAATGCAAAAAAAAAATATGGATTAAAATAAACAAGAATATCGTCAGTTAAGGCGAAAAGAGATTTCAAATTTTCATCTGCACGCAATGAGAAAAAAACGAAAACCCATAAAAATTGCGTATTTTTCTAAGTTGGGTTATTTTGTTGCGCGCACGCAAAGTTAATTACCATTTTGTCTGTTCCTTGTGTTCGATTTCGTTGGAAGCTATAAATGTCTAAACAGCAACAACGACGCGACCTTTTTTTTTTTGGGCAATTTATAAAAGATTTGGACGTTTTTTTCTTTCTTTTATTTGGCGACTGCGACACACTTTTGTACACAATGGCGTCTGACCATTCGCAGTTAACGCGCACAACAGATCTCAGCTGTTCTCCAATCAGAGTGACCATGCATGACAGCTCGCATGCTTCCAATTGGCATGCATCCAGCAGCAGCTATGTTAAGTGGCACTCTGTTAACGGCTAACGCCAAATGAGCAGCGTTAACGCAAATATGAGCTAACAGTGGCGCAAACGCAATGCAGAGTCTATTTTATCGATTTATCGGCTGTTGCGCTTTTGAAACGGCTTTTTAAATTTAAGCAGACAGCTATTTCTTTGTTTTTGAGTTTTCTTTTGCTGTTGACACAAATACATACCTGAATGCTGAATACGCTCAGCATTCGTTGTATCTCTATGCAAATAAAACAACAATTTTCGGGCATACAGCTGCGAGACAATACATGCTGAATCTCGTTAATGCATGACCCAATAAAATTGTAAGAGAAATTCAGATTCAGTTTTTCAATTGCCTAATACAGTTGGCAGCTATATTCCATAAGTTAATGTCAACTTAGTTTGGGTAAATTGGATTGCCCTTTGATAACTGCCATTTCAGAAAATTGAGAGTGAAAACTCAGCTGGCGGTTGGCCCACTGACGGGAATTGCGGCTACACAGTTATAGAGCTTCCAACCACCAAAGCGACAGCATTTACTGTCTTTCCGTCTAATATCATAATGACAACACGACTCGCAACCGTATCTCATTACACGTGCGACGCGCCAAGCGAACGGTCGCAGCAACTCCCATCCGTATAACCCAATCCCAGATACAGGCAGAAGTCATGTCACAGAGCATCAGCTATGCCGATGGCAATGGAGCCGCTGCCGTGCGACGCAAGGTGGCCATTGTGGGCGCGGGTCTGGTAAGCGGGTCACTCTTATCTGAAATACATATCTTATCAGCGGGGATTAGTTGACCAAAAAATAGACGGATAAAGTGGAAGCCATAAAAAAGAAGATATGGAAGATTTAACTCAAAGAAGGGCATTGTCTTTTATTATATTTAATCAGAGTGATTAATCGTTTTTCACCTCAATCCAGGTTGGCTCCTTGGCCGCCTTGAACTTCGCTCGCATGGGCCACGATGTGCAGCTGTACGAGTATCGCGAGGACATACGCAAGGCGCAGCTCGTCCAGGGACGCAGCATCAATTTGGCGCTGTCGCAGCGCGGTCGCAAGGCTCTGGCCGCCGTCGGACTGGAGCAGCAGGTGCTGGCCACGGCGATACCGATGCGCGGACGGATGCTGCATAATATTCACGGCCAAACCAGCATTGTGCTGTATGATCCGTGCACGCGGCAGTGCCTGTATTCCGTGGGCCGCAAGCAGCTGAACGAGCTGCTGCTGAATGCCTGCGATGCCTTTCCCAACATTAGCTGCCATTTCGAGCACAAGCTGGCCGAGGTCAACATTGCCGCGGGCCGGATGCAGTTCAAGCGACCCGCCGAGCAGCAGCTAATCTCGGCCAGCGCGGATTTGATCGTGGGCTGCGATGGGGCGTTCAGTACGCTGCGCCAGCAGCTGGTGCGCACGCCCGGCTTCAACTACTCGCAGGAGTACATCAACACGGGCTACCTGGAGCTGTGCATACCCGCCAAGGATGGCGATTTTCAGATGCCTGCGAATTATTTGCACATTTGGCCGCGCGACTCCTTCATGATGATCGCGCTGCCCAACCAGGACAAGTCCTTTACGGTCACGCTCTCCATGCCCTTCGAGCTGTTTGCCCAGCTGCAGACGCAGCAGCAGCTGCTCGATTTCTTTCGCACGCACTTTGCGGATGCACTGCCTCTAATTGGCGAGCAGCAGCTGATCAAGGACTACTTCAAGACGCGGCCACAGCACCTGATGTCCGTCAAGTGCAAGCCGTATCATTTTGCCGACAAGGCCTTGTTGCTGGGCGATGCCGCGCATGCCATGGTGCCCTACTACGGGCAGGGCATGAACGCCGGCATGGAGGATCTGACGCTGCTCAGCTCCATACTCAACCAGCAGGACGCGCCGCTGGACGTGGCGCTCGCCCAGTTCACGGAGTCGCGCTGGCGCGACGCCTACGCCATTTGCGACCTGGCCATGTACAACTATGTGGAGGTGCGTATGTTGCCAGCCGGAGCTGTTCATTCCTTATGTACTAGCACGTAATCCTTTGCAGATGCGCGATCTGACCAAGCGCTGGTCCTTCCGCTGTCGCAAGTGGCTGGACACGGCGCTCTTTCGCCTCTTCCCCAAGCACTGGGTGCCGCTCTATAATAGCGTCTCCTTTACCAGCATGCCCTACAGCCAGTGCATAGCCAATCGCCAGTGGCAGGACAAGCTGCTGGGCAAGGTGCTCGGAGCTACGCTCCTGATGAGCTTGTTTGCTGGTGGCGCCATCTATGTGCGGCGTTTGCGCTGAGCGAAGGAAGGCATTTTGATATGTTGTGAAATACTATGGATCCTTAACTCTTTTGTACAAACTACACTCTAACTACACTCGGTTTCTATATTTTTCTAATTTCCTTATAATTCCCAAATAGTTTATGCGCTATTTGAATCGAATGGTCTGCGCCTCTGCATAAAAACATAAATATATATGTATGTATGTATGTTTGTATATTTGTATTTAGCGCGTGGTTAAATACTACGCATCGCATTTTGGCACTCTAAACATTGTATGTGCATATAGTATTTGTTTTTATTTATTTCTGTTTATTTGCTGCGTTTAAAAAGTCGATGGCATTGTGCAAAGCCAAAAATATGCCACGCCAGTGTACAGTTGCATTTACAGAAGACATACATGCCCTTAAATAAATGCACATACAAGAATATTCGATGCATTTCTTAACTATCACGTGTACCATCGAATGTTTATGGCGGAAAACGAACAGGAAGAACGCATGTTATGACTAACCTCACTTATTTGCTAATTGACAAGATAAAACAAAATAGATGTGAATGGCAGCACTGTAATTATAAATGGCAGCACTGACACGCAAGGCCAGCGCTTTCTCTCGTTTCGCGCGCGCTCCTCTCTCTCTCTCTCCGTCCCTCTCTCCCATTAAATTCAATGTCGACGCCGGCCGGTATTCCGTTATGACTTGCAAGCAATAACGAAAACAACAACATTTTACATTAAACGAAATCTTTAAAGTGTAAGCTGACAAAAGCTCACTCTCTGCTCTCCCTCGCTCTCTTTTTTTATTTTGCTGGAACATTCGCATGGCGTTGCCAGCAGCAGCCGCCACATGTTGCTTGAGCGAAAAACTAGGCTTAAAAGTGAAAACACGGCCAAAACAATGAATAGCAGCTAACGTCTGACCCAGTGCTGTTAAATGAGGCAGCGCCGTGCAGGGAGAGTGAGAGCGAGAGAGCCAGGCACACAAAAATCAACTAATTGTTGTTGTTTTGCTGCGATTAATTGTGAATGTTTAAATGTACACACATACATACATACATACATACATGGATACATGGTGAGCTTATGTAAATGTGTGCAACTCACAAACATACATACATACACATTTGGTTATTGTTGCTATTTGCCGGCGGCGACTTAGTTATTTGTGAACTTTTCGCTGTTCACTTTTTATTTTTCGTTATTGCTTTTATTTCAATTCTTTGCTCTCTAGAATTGTTGTCGTTGTCGCACAGTGGTGCAATGTATCGTCATCAACAATCCAATCGATAAATCGAATTGGAATCAAACTGGCATTCGAGCTAGTACATGTAATATTTTTCTTATGTTTTCATATATATATATTTGTAAATTTACAACATTTCAATAAAAGTGTATAATATTTATGACAAAAGACTAAGAGCTAAGCCACGGCTCTAAAGAAATTCACTTTTCTGACCAATGGCATTTGCATTTGGACCACTGTGCGTTGTCGCAGTCCACGACGCGTAACTGCCGCGATTTATACAAACATACGGTTTTGCTTAAGCAGCGGCCAACAGTTGCTCGTCACATGTTCGACACTCAAGTAGAGACCACCTCAAGTAACGGGAATTGTGCAGAAAATTGGACCAACGATCAGTTCTGTGACCAACACACACACACACAATCAACCGACAACAATAGTTCCTTCACGCATTGTGCAATTGAAAGTGGAGATTGAGATTTATTGAAAGTCGAAAACCGATTCGAACCGAACCGAACCGTACCGAAAGCCGCAAGTTGTGTGAGTGTCCGAATATATGTATTTTAATCGAGCTGTTAACATTTCAAACCCACTTAGTTGCCAACGCGCTATTGCCGCCTACAACATTCTCGAAGCTTTCCGAGCAACGTGCTTTGACCACACGCGGTTCTGTGTTGTGTTTCTTGTCTGTGTGTGCGTGCGTGTGTGTCGAGTGTGTTAAAAAGGAAAAGCCGAAAAAGCAAAAGCGATTATCGAAAAGAATATAAGCAATTAGGGTTTTATTTGTCAGTCTCTAGTGTAGTGTAAGAAAAAGCAGATGCAGTCGTCTCGTCGGTTGTTTGCACGTTAACGTAATATTCAAACAATACAAATTTAACCACCAAACATCTTTTGCGCTTTGTTGCGGTGCCACAAGATCGAACGCCCAACCCCCGCACCGCACCGCACCGTTCCGTTTCGCCCAACGTCAAACGTTAATTGCACTCTTCGAATTGCATTTTTACTTCCGCTCTCTCGCCTCCACTCTCTCACTGTGTCTCCATCTCTCTCCCTCTCTCCCGCTGATTCTTCTTGCTGCTGATTTATTTTAATACAGTGGCTGTGCTCTATTCGAATTCAACAAATAGATTGTTTGTGTGTGAGCGTGCGTATGTGTGTGCTCTATATACCCACATATGTACATTCAAATATACAACTATTCACATTAGTGTTACATATACACGTGAGCCAAGCGAACAGAGACTTTGTAATCGTGTAACCGTAACCAATAACGTCAGAGTAACTGTAACGGTCAATAACGCCGCAAACGCGTTTCGCGACTCTTCCCTCTTACACCCAGCCTGCTCTCGCACGTATTTACAAGAAGAAGAATAAGAAGAAGCAATCAGCTCGTTACGTACTTTTGCTAGCGCCATCTGGCTTCCGATTATACCCGCGCGAATTTCAACTCTTCTCGTCCTTGTTGTGGCCGTGGCGCAAGTGCCCTCTCTCGCTCGCACCGTCGCTGCCGTCTACGTGTTTCAAAGAAAGCAAGTCAAAGCAAATAGCAAATACCAAAGACGTTCAATCGCGTTCTGCATCTTGTGAATTCGGAATATAACTGTTAAAGCACGACTAGCCGCCCCAGTTTACCAGGTAAATATCACAAAAAGGCTTATCAAAATATGGAACTTGCAATTTTCGGACTACGTGACCGCGCTGCAGACGGCGCTGCCGGGTCTCGGGTCTCGGGTTGCCCACCCAAACAAACGCACTCTCTCTCTATCTTTCTCTCTCTCACACACATCTATGTGCTATTCTCACACGTGTCGCTCTTTTTCTTCTGGGGGGAATCTGTCATTTCCGGATTGGGCTGAAAAAATTCACCTTCAGGGCGTTTGGGATTTTGGCCCTGACGCAAATTTAAATGCTTTCCTGCATACATTTCTAAATTCTGGCATTTAAATCGGCGTTGTATAAAATATGTACATATATATTAAAGCACACAACTGAAATAGATCTATATATAGTATTTCACATAGCAGGCTAAAAATACAAACAATTATTTATTTAATTTCAATTTATGACAAAATATTCATTTCAGTAAGTTTAAACAGCATGTAATCAAAAAATTTTTAAATTCCGTTCTGATTGAGGAGATTTCTTGGACAATCCCTGAAGCTGTTCAGCTTTTGTCAAGCCATTAACAAATCGCCAAATGCGAATCATATGCTAACCACAAGAGTCAGCATGAAGAGCTATTTAAAGTTCCAGTTATCCAACCAAGGAGATTAGACAAATATTTCAAATATTCAACAGTCTTCAATGAGGTAAAGTTCTCAAACAGAGTTGTTTCCAACTCGATTCACTCCCAACTAGACACGAGTACCATGAGTATTTGCAGTTTAGTAGAAACTACGCGTACAGACATGTATGTACATACACATACATGTATCTCGCTTCTGATCATATTCGTTGCGACTCGTTTTATCGTTTATTTGTCATCATTCATTTACCTATTCAACGTTGTTTTGATTGATATTTATAATTTCTGTAGGTGTTTGGGGGCGCTTTCAATAAACAGAGTCAAATTAAGTAATTTCACATAAATTACTCATAGCTCTCTGAATAGAATTCTATATGGCTATATATGTCTGTATAAAGGAATGTAGGAGATCACTTAAATAAATCATCGCAGGCTTCAAAATTGGGGTTTCCCTCGCTTTAATAGTGTCAATAACAATAGCACAAAATCAATATTCAAAACTGGGGGTCATTAGCTGTAAGGTCTTAAATTTGCATTTTTACACAGAGATACAAATACACAATATATGTATGTACTCTGTACTTTGCATACGTTAATGTATTTTTGTATGCACATACATACATACGTATGCAAATGTGAAACAATATTGCGCTTTATGGCATTTAAATCCCAATTCTGGATGGCGCTTTGCCACGGGCCATAAGCAAATCAATTGTGAATACGTATGCACACGCACACACACATAGAAAACACTTATTATCGTTTGTAAATATAAAAATATTGCGATATAGACATACATACGTCAAACATATTGGGCATTGATGTATGTATGTATGTATATATGTAGGTACAGTTTAACATTTAAAAAAAACTTACATCATCTTCTTGTGGGCCGTAGAGAGGGCCGCAAAGCACGCTGAGCGGGCGTGAGAGTAAGAGCAGGAGAGAGCGAGAGAGGGAGAGCGAGCAGTAGAACGCCAAAAATGGCAAGCAATGTTTTGTTGTTGTTGCCGTTCTTGTCGAACGGACGGACGCGAAAGTAATAGAAATTGCGCGTTGGAATTGGAAACGACGAAGAAAACAACAACAACAACAACAACAACAACAAAACACAACAAAACACTAACAAAAACCGCAAACATGCCGCGCAGTTTGCTGAGCTTCCTTCTAACACAAAACTAAAGACAAGTGCAAAACAAAGGTGATAAACAACGGCAACAAGGTTAATGGGGATATGCTGGCAAAAAGACAAAAAAAAACACAACAGTTAATTTGCATACTTTACAATAACTGTACTAAAATGCATTTTCTTTATATTTTATTCCCTCTCTTTCGTCGGCAGCAAGGAATAGGGCAAACGTTTCGAACAGAGGACGCAGTGAAAAAAAAGTGTATGCACAAAATAAAACATCAGGCAACAACAATAACAAAAACAACAACAGCAACAGCAACAAACGACCACGAAAACAACAACATCAAGACGCAATTTAATGAATTTTGTGATTATAAATATTTCAGAGGTACAACAAAAGCTCATTTAATAAAAAATCGCGGCGTCGAGCACCACGCCAAACGGCAAAACCCACAAAAATCAAATTAAAACAAAAACAAAACGACAAAAAAAAAACAAACGAAATAATTTAAAAAAGAAAGAAAAACAAACGCACAACAAAAGCAACAACAACAACAGCAACAACAAACGTGGCAATAACTAAAACAGAAAGCTTTCGCAAGTTAGCAGCAGCAGAAAAAAACAACAACAACAACAACAACAAGCAGAGCCCGTGAGAGTGCAAGTGAATAACAGTGTTCGTGCGTGCGTGTATGTGTTGAGAGTGAGAGAGAGAGCAAGTGAGCGTAAGCGAGAGCGCGCCAAAGCAGAGGCAACAATAAGCAGCGACCGTTAAGCGAAACAGCGCCCAAAGCCAATTGCGCATAGAACAAGCACAGAAGCACATTCGTTAAGCGCAGAGAAGTCGAAATAAAAACTCACGAAACTATACAAAAAAAAAACCAAAACAGAAATTTAAAAATTTAAAAATATAAACAAAATACAATCGAAACACTAGAGAAAAACGGCAAACAATCAAAAACGGCTGAAAAAGTTTTAAGTGTGACGACGACGTTGCCGTTGTGAAAATGGTAAACAAAGCCCAAGGAAAACAGGCGAAGGCAGACAAGGACAAACAAGCTACGCAGCAACAGGAGAAGTCGCAGCAACAGCAGCCACAGGTGCTACAAGGCAACAAAAACAATATTAACATCAACAACAACAACAGCAATGGCAGCAGCAACAACAACAACAACAATAATCAAATGAAAACAAACGAGAAGACCAAAAATGGAAACAACAAATGTAACAACAACAATGCAGCGCGTGCCAAGTCTGGCGGCAACAAATCACAACAGCAGCAACAACAGCAGCAGCGCAGCAGCAAAAAGGCGCGTCCGCAGCGGCAGCAGCTCTTCTTTCAGCCGCTGACGCGCAGCAGCAACAGCCAGCAGCAGCTGCTGCTGCAGCGCTCAACATGCACACAAGACGCCGCCAGCAACAGCAGCAGCAGCAGCAGCAGAAATAAAAACAGCAGTGCGACAACAGCAGCAATAACAGGACCAATAACAGGAGCAATAACAGCAGCAACAACAGCAACATTAACAGCAGCCGCTGTCGGCAAAGTAAGCCCCGCCGATATGTTAACAGCCGCTTTGGCCGTGCCCTGCGCCAAATGCTCAAAGCCCGCCATGCTGCCCCCCGGCCTGCTGCCCTCGTCCGGCTCCACCAGCAGCGCCAGCTCGGAGGCCAGCAGCAGCAGTTACAGCAGCATTAGCAGCGGCAGCAGCAGCAGCAGCAGCAACAGCAGCAGAAGCAGCGATCAGCAGCTGCAGCAGCAGCACTCGCAGCAGCAACTGGAGGCAGCCATCATTTATCCGGGCAAACAATACCGTAAATCCAAATCCTATATGGGCGTCTCACAATATGCAACCAAAGCAAATGCTGGCAACAGCAACAACAACAACAACAACAACAGCAACAACAACAGCGGCAACATACCGTATAGACGCTCGCAGAGCGATCGCCGCAATTCATTCGATCGCACCTTTGCGGAGCGTAATCGCGACTTTGTGCCCATCGTACAGCCATTGCGTCCCGTTCTCTCCTCATCGAACATTGCGGGCGTCATAGCCAGCGCCAGCGCCAGCAAGCTGACCATCATCGAGCGTTTCGGCAAAGGACGCGTCGCCTATCCCATTATGCAGGTGAGTCGTCCAACAATTCTACAATCATTACGTTGAGATCAAATTTATAACTATACGCTTGAAATTCAGGCTCAAATTGAGATTAGAAATCTGTTAACTCGTTTATTTATAGTTTTGCAATCAGATCTTAACAATTTTTATGGCTGCCAACTTCTTGTTTGACTTGAATTTTATTCCATTTCTAATTAAGGAATTTCCCTCCAACTAGAGTTTCACATGTTTTCTAGCGATTAATGTATTCTGGGGAAACTCTTATTAGAATGTAGAGTTCGTCAAGTTAATAAGTTCAGGCTCAAATTGAGATTGGAAATCTTGCAACTGGTTTATTTATAGTTTTGCAATCACAACTTAACAACTTTTATAGCTACCAACTTCTTGTTTGACTAGATTTTTATTCTATTTCTAATTAAGGCATTTCCTTCCAACTAAAACTTCACAGCCTCTTATTGGATTATAAATTTCGTTAAGTTAATAAGATCAGGCTCAGGTTAGGATCATAAATCTTTCAATTGTTTATCAGATCAGATCTTAACAATTTTTAAAGCTACCAACTTCTTGTTTCACCAGCTTTGTATTCTACTTCTTACCAATTAGAATTTCCTTCCAACTAGAACTTCACACGTTTTCTAGTGCTTGAAGTCTTTGGGACATCTTATTAGATTGTAGAGTTTCTAAAGATGAGCAGATCAAATAGATAGTTGACCTCAGAGGGATATCAAACTATTTATATTTATTTGGTATTATTTTTACGAACTTTATGTAAAGATTTAACAGAAAATTAAGCTGTTTTTGCTTGGGGCAATCAACTCGAAATATGCCCAGTTTTATACATAGAGCCATTCTTATTATGAGTCTTAAACTATTTTTAGTCTCCAACTAATCTTTGTTATTTTAACGGCCCACCTGATATTCTCAAGTCTATAAAATTAAAAGAATTATGTTACCTTGAAAGAGAAGATTCAGTTAAACGTGATGTATAACATTTGTGCCGATATTTCTGGGTAATCTTTCGTAACTTTCCATTTGTGTGTGATATTGTTTTTGTTGCCACATAAAGATTCGAGAAGTTCTTTCTAATCAGCGCTACCGAAGGAAGCGGTTCTAATTAATGGCGCAAAAGCAGCTAGATGATAAGGCCAAAAGCAAAAACAAAAAACAACAAAAAAAGAATAAAAACAGAATACAATAGAGTAGAAAAAAAGAGAGAGTATATAAATTGTTGTTGTTGTTGTTATTGCCTTGTTGTTTCATTAGTCATCTGTATATTTTCAATGCAGATTGCATCACGGAATGAAATATAGTTATAGATTGTTACCTTTATAGAGTATATAGCGAGGCTATTCCAGAAAATTCCCCTCGCCCCCCCTTTCCCCCTGTGTAATTAGTTGGCAATCGTATTACGAGGCTTGTTTATTTGTTTAGCTTGGTGAGCTGCTCAGGCATTGTTATCACTGCACTTTGCGTCTTATATACCCATATTTGCACTGGCCCAAAGACACGTGCGCCCGAGCAGGGATCGTGCATTCCACGCATTACGTATACGGCATGTTGAGCATCATTTTTATTTCAATATTGTTACAGAATGAATGTGTAACGCCTTGTTGTGTATAATGCTTTGTAGGCGCCGTAAACTCTATACATTATTGATCAGCATTATCAGCTGATTTATAGATATTTTAGTTCATCATGATCTATGGGAAATAGTCTCTCAGTTTAGCTATAATAGGGGAAGAGGCTTCTTTGAAATCATTGAGATCGGATTAATAGATATATACATTATTGATCAGCATTATCAGCTGATTTATAGATATTTTAGTTCATCATGATCTATGGGAAATAGTCTCTCAGTTAAGCTAAATTGGGGGAAACTTGGCATAGAAACTTCTTCGAAATCGTTGAGATCGGATTACTATATGTATATATATTGTTGATCAGCATAATCAGCTGAGTTATTATAGCTATTTAAGTCTATCAAGATCTATGGGAAATAGACTCGCAGTTAAGCTATATTGGGGGAAACTTGGTATAGAAACTTCTGTCCAAATCGTTCAGATCGTATTACTATATCGCAATTTTAACTATAATCTTCTATCAAGGGTATTTGAACTTCGACAGAGCAAAGTTCTTTCGTGTTTCGTTTTGGTTACGATTAATAAAAATTTGTCTATTGACGAGCTGCGGATTGATGGATATTTTCTTTAATGCGGAAATTGCAAAGCCTTGGAATATTAAAACAAATCAGAAAAAGAAACGAGATGTGTTTTGGTTGTCTGTGTTGCATAGATGAAACCAAATACAAAAACTGAAATATAAAAAACAAGCGGCCAGAAAAGTCCAACATATTTATTTGCTGTTGTTGTTTATGCTAATTATTCAGGTCTCTAGAAATCTGCATATGTTGGAAAAATAGTAGTATAGCCAAAAATAAAATAAAATCAAATCGAATCAAATAATGATTAGCATGTGCGTCAGTTCGAATCGTTGCTGGCTGGGACTTGGATGTGTTTGATTACCTTTAAAGACCGAAACTAGTTCTAAATGTATGCGAAAAGGGAAACTTGTTTTGCCACTTGGTGTGCGAAACATTTATTACTAAAAGAATCGAGAGTATAAAACGACAAATGCAAATTGATTCACGTTCATTTAAGAACTCATGGCTTAAACACAATTGACAGACAACACAATAGACGCAAAGTTAGGAAACAATGTTTAAACAACTGTCGCAAGAACCCAAACAAGAGCTAACCTTCAAAAGCATTTTCCAAACAAACTTAACACACTTCTATTTTGTTTGTGCCAGTTGCTCGTGTACTATTATTATTATTCTTACCAGACATGAATCATTTGAGCGAAGAGTGTGAGCGGCTCTTCAGCTCGCAAGACACTGTGCTCGCTCTTAATAAACCTCTCGCTCTCTCTCTCTCTTGCTCTCTCTCTCGCTCGCCCGCTCTTCACGTGAGCACAGCTTTCATCGGGGCACAGTGGGGCGACGCCGTCAAACACGTGGCAAAAGCTGATCAACTGGGCAACGGAAATGAACTGACGTGCAGATAAGATAAACAAGCAACACTTGTCACCACAAAAAAAAAAATATAACCAAATACTTGACATATTTGATATATATAAATGTATAGATGTGTAGGGGAATGTTTAGAGGGGATTTTAGCCGCAATTTCGAGCTGGCTTGAAAGATTCACGCTCTTTATTGTACAATTATAATGCTTCATGTATTTGTTATCAGCGTCAGTTGCAACGAAATAAAATAATAGAAAACATGAAGAGTAGCCAAACAAAAGCACAGACGGTAGGCATTGCAAATATTGAAACTTGTTGCTTGCGTCAATCGCGAGCGAGTCCCATCGATAGTACGAGTATATACACAGATGTGCACAAATATATATACATATATATTTATATATAAGTGAACTCTGTGTACTTTATGGAAATGATTTGTAAAAAGAGACTTTTCGCTAATAGGGCTCGTTCGCTGGAAACCTTTAATGAACGCAGCTACCAATTACTTCTAACAAAAAACCCAGCTATAATATTCCAATCATTAAATTTTACACCCAGCTGCGGTCGGACATTTCGTTTTAACGGCTTTTGGCCCAAAATCTATATGAGCTCATAAACGATGCGAACTAAAGACATTAAGTTTGACGGGTTCAATGCCTGAAGGACATGTCCCTAAGGCAACAAAAGCTTAAACTAGTTATTTAATTATATTTAACAAAGTTTTATTGGGCTGCTCTAAAGTTCTCCATAAAGTATTCAAAATTTGTTGATTTGCCGAAACCCAGCCACAATTTTGAGCATATATGCCCTTAATTTTGGTTATATATCTCTTTTAACCAACACGTTAGCTATTCGAAACCTTTTCTTAAGATCGAAAGTTTTTTAAGTTTATTTTATAGGTTTTTGTAGGTTTCTTAGAAAGGGTACTGGACGCAGCTTAGCGAACTCTTTCAGCGCCTTCTACTTTTGTACGATATCACTTCTCACTTGAGTTTAAACAATCAACATTATTCGAATATAATATACATTTAGTAAATAAAATAAATATTTATGACGTCCTCGAACTTGACAATGGGATTTAAATTGTGTGTGCTTGTTAGAATATTTGGTTACTCAATTTGAAATATGCGCGAAATTAATCTTATCTTGTGCGCTGCTTTCTAGTTCTATTTCAGCTAGCTCGAGTTATCGATATGTTATCGATAGTTGTTAGAGCTATTGTTAAGCATTGACTTTTAATGTTTATTTGTAGCATTTTATTAAATATACCTTATTTCCAATGTGCTTGCAATTTGAATTCTAGATCGTATAGTCTCTAATCTCTAGTTCAAGTTATCGATACATTATCGATAGTTTTGAAGCTATTGTCAAGCATTGACGTTTAAGGGCTTTTTTGCAGCATTCTCTTTAATATATGCCCAAATTCAAATGTGCTCACAATTTTGTCTCTAGTTAAAATAGGGTATATTTCAGCCAAGTCAAGTTATCGATATGTTATCGATAGTTGTTCTATTACTTTTTTGGCATTGACTTTTAATGTTTTTTTGTAGCATATTATTTAATGTACCGAAATTCAAAAATGCTCGCAGTTTCCCTTAGTTGAAATGAGATATTTATCAGCCAAGTTTAGTTATCGATATGTTATATTATGCTTTTACACTTCGATATGTTATATCAGTTATAAATTCTCTGAGATATCTTATGGTTTTGGTCTTGACTAATCGATAAAAGAATATGGAAAATTCTCACAGAAAGATAAATTGAAAATTCCCATTGGTTTGCTTAAGCTCTTTTTAAAGTCTCTTTAGCGCTGATATTTTGCTTATTTATATTTGTTCCTGGTATTTCCTACGGGTATTTCAAATGTCGAACGCTTGAAACTTCATCATTAATTCATATTTCTCATTATTTTCGCGTTCAAACGCAGCTGTGTGTGAATTTTGAGCCATGTTTTCTTAAGTTTTTGTGCCTCCCACCCGCTCCCA